AATACAGATGAATGAAGGCAACTTTTTAAAGATGACATATATGCACAAAAGCTAAAATCAGTTATGAGAATTAACATTGTATAGTCCTATGCATTTTTGGCATGGAATTATGGATTTAACATAGGCAGCTACAAAAATCATCCAGGCATTTCAGATTTGGATTTATCACATGATACTAATAATTTATTGGACTGAAGAAATACAAGGAAAAATAAATGGGCCAAAAAGCATAAAAATATGTAAAAACCTAGAATATTAGAATACTTTTATCACATAAGGAGAGCAAAATCTACTGATTGTTCCAGTTGATTCTGGTTTTTCTTTTTTTTCTTTTTTCTTTTTGGCGAGGAGCTTAAAACACAGCATGGACCATAACCTGGGATTGTGTAGTTTTTAGCGGTACTCTTCCTATGTCAATCTACTGAAATAAGGCACTACTCACACTTTGCAGGAACAGATTGGCAGAATAATGTAGCTAGATTTTTTTAAAATACATGCAGCAGTTGTTATTCCACCTCATGAATATTCAGCTCTAAGGCTGTTGTCTGCCCTTACTTCAATCATAAAAAACAGTTGTTATTTTCCAACAGGGCTTAAAAGAATGAGCTAGGGTGGGAGTGGGACATGGGAGAGCCAAGCTCAAGTATCCACCCATGAAACTCAGTGAGTGGCCCTGAGCCAGTTGCTTTCTCTTAGCTTCGCTTATCTCACAGGATTGTTCAGAGGATAACATGGGGAGGAGGAAATGTACATTGCTTAGAATTGACTGCAAGAACTAAATACTGTACATTAAAAAACTGTCATGCATGAAACAGCACAGTCCCCCCCACCCCCGGCATCTAGCAACGATGTCAGGACAATTTATGTTACCAAGCCTCGTATCCAAAATTAGATATCTTTCTTTACACACACCAGATGGTCATAGTCTGTGTGATTTTTTTTCTTTCACATTAACATGTAACTCTCTTCCACAATCCTACACCAGATGGTCACACAGTGAAAGATTTCAAACACTATTCCTATACCTCACTACTCTTCACCACGGAACAACACCCAGTGATTACAGCACTGTGGAGAAGAGTTTAGACAAATGCATACTGTTCAGGATTTAAGATTTCCAGGCTGTGCTGAAATTCATTCTTAATCCTAGAATTCCATTGTCTTTGGATGAGTCATTATATGTCAAATTGCATCCAAATCATGCTAACGTTTACCCATAAGCAAATCCAATAAAATAATAATAGTGTGCTGTCAAGTCAATTCTGATTTATGACAACTTTTTTTCAGGGTTTTCTATATGGAGAGAACTCAGAAGTGATTTATCACTGTAAGGTAAATACTGTTGGATAGAGAGTTTTTTTGTACTGAAGTTCGTGTGAATTCCAGTAAAATGCACAGCAAGAAGTGCCAGCCGGTTTGGGCAGAATTAGCTAGAAGTTCCCCTTTTAATACCTGCCCCTCACCAAACACTAGCACTTAAAATAACACTCAGGAGGCCTTTTTGTATAAAAGAAAGAAATCTATATTCTACTCACGTAGATAAGCATTCAGAAGGTTTCAGGCAGATACAGAAAGAGAAAAATAGCAAAACAATGTCCTCCTTGGCCCACGTGGCTGGAAAGGTCTCCAGGCTCAAAGAGCCAGGGTGGAGGTGTTACATCCTGCGTGTGCAGGAATGGGGGGCCAACAATGGAGGTCAAACACCTCATGGCCAGGAGGGCCGGAAACAGAGGTGGAGCTACCCTAGCCCCACAAAAACAAACTCCCTCTAATTGGTCAGTATGTAAACAACCAGGTAAACAAGTTAGTTTGTGTGCTGAAGGCCCTCCCCTTTAGAAATTTACATCTAGATTGTTTGACCATCCAACAAATACATACAATGGAGGATGGCAAAGTGCAGCCCTCTAGAATGGTTGGACTGATACTACCGTGTTTCCCTGAAAATAAGATCTAACCTGAAAATAAACCCTAGTATGATTTTTCAGGATGCTTATAATATAAGCCCTACCCCCCAAAATAATCACCAGTTAAGTGAAATCCTACCCTCCACCATTGTGCAGCAACCAGAAGAAGATGACATGACTGTATTTGAAGAAATGTAGATTGTTGTACATGAAAAAAATAAAATATCCCCTGAAAATAACCCCTAATGCGTTTTTGGAGCAAAAAGTAATATAAAACACTGTCTTATTTTTGGGGAAACACAGTATCACTGGCTATGCTGGTTACATCGATAGGAAGTGCAACCAAAAACATTTAGGAAGCACTATTTGTCCATCTTAAATAGCAACCTTAACATTATTTACTCAAATAATAAGTGTTATGGAATATATTAGTCAAAATCTCGTTATATATGCTTGTCAGTGTAACTCCAATGTCATAAATCTCAGTAGCAAATTACCACTATTCACAAACTTACTGCTTGTATTTTTTGTCACACAACAGTTGTGTGACTTGGGGCACAACAAGAAATGCAGACTTCCATGTTGTAAATTTACACTGTTGGACTAACACAGTTGAATTTATTAACAGTATTCCAGCTAGTGGGATCATCTGGGTCTCCATCACCCTCAATTCGGTCCTCTCCCTTCTTTTGCTCTCAACACGCTCCTTTTCTTCCCTCAGTTTTCTTCTCCACTCCTTCACCTCTGTCTCACCCCAATAGGATGGCCGAGGTGTCACCTCCCTCCGTCTCCTATAATCTGCTTCTTCCTTAGGTACACAGAGTCTCTCCCACTTCCCCGTCCACAGATCTTGCATCCATACCCATTCCCAACCTGGAGGCAGTTCCCCTTCCTTCCCTTTTATATCTGCGAACATCGCCTCTACTTCCACCTGGGGTTTTTGCTCTTTTCCCGCCATCGTTTTTCCCGCTCTCCCCAACCGTCAACCATTGTAGTTCTTTGTCCATAGGCACAGGGTCTGTTTCTGGAGCCTCTGTCTTTTGGGGGCAGGCCACAGGTGAAGTTTGTACCCCTTGTTCTATGGAGAGGGGACGAGCCGGCACTCCACTGAGAACTGATCTTGCTTCCAGTCTCACAGAATACAACACATTTGCCTCAAATTATAGACTATTTTAAAACAGATCCTCTGAAATTGATGAAACAAATCATGGCTAATTTGAATCCCAAATGTTAACTCTTGCAAGAGTTAAGCCAAGATCTATCCCATACTGTCCAGTGGGTCCTGAAACAGAGGACCTTCCCTCCACACAATTTTTGCTTTAGTAACTACTTCTAATATTTTCATGGGAAGTTCCTTGGAGTTGGATTGCCATTGAAATAGAATCAATATTAACAATATTTCATTGTCAACATAATTATTCTTATGTTGAATACTACTTTCATTGCAGCCATATTCAATTATAATTTTTCTTCAGTGCAGATGAGATACATGATGCACTAAAATTATAATTTAGAAAACACATTTACTGAAAATGAGCATTATAAACAAATCATGAGGCTCAAGCAATCTATTCTTGTGTACCCTACTTTCTAACTCCAGAAGTGACTGAAGCATTTAACAGAATATCCTGATTCCTAACTTTTAGCAATTTGTTCTCTATTGCTTCATGTTAAGTACTGTACAGTAGTTTATTCTGCAATCATAAGTATACTGACTTTTGAGTATGCATAGGATTGCACTGTTCATGAAATCAGTTTTCTTTAAACTATGCAATTGGAAGAATGTGGAATAATTCGTAAGGTTTTTTCTAAGTAATAAAGAGTATAACAATTAATTTTTGGGACTGCACAGAGGTACAAACAGCCTTTGCTGTGGCCTCCTACAGAACAAGGGCTATTGAAAGAACTTTGGGATTCCCATGGCAAGGGAAAAAC